CAAGACTCACTCAAAATTTTCTCTAGTGATCTTGGAGCGGCAATTCAGTGGCCGTGTGGACTAAATCCCCTCTAAAAGATTGACGGTTCCGCCGGAGAGAGTGGGTGTATCCGGTGGACTAACACACCCACCTGCACTAGGACCTGCGCAGTCGAGCGCCGTAAATGGAGATGTAAAAGACCTGGAGGGTTGAGCCAATCGTAACTGGGGTATAATTATAATGGCGAGAGGCAACACGTCGTTTTTGGTCCGGATTTCAAGTCAAACGGTGACCCTATCTGCTAACCACAGGTAGGGAAATGGCCAAGCACCCCGTGAGAGGATCGCAGGCGTCGGACGTGAGGGCTGCCTAGTGTCCTGAAAAGGGCTAGGTGGTAGTAAAGGCCATACTGTCGGAGCAACTGACAGTCATTCAGACAGCGCAGATGGGCCTTTTCAACCCTGTCTGCCAACTGGATCGAGCTGCAGGCTGGAACTTCGCGTCCCTATGTTCCGCCGGTAATCCTAACAAATGATTTTTTTTTGTTTTAAAGTAGGACGTTCCCAAAGATGCGAGCTCCATGGGGGGTGGAAAGCCGGGGGGACGAATCTATAAATGAAAGATAGGTGTCAGAGGTGACTACCAGAGGGACCAACACTCAAGGAGAAACCGCCAGTAAAATGGCGACTCCTCAGAGCACGTCATCCAGCGTCGGTGGATCTCTCAAGGGAATTTCCGGGCTGGAGGCTCCTAAAACCAGTTCCTCGCAGCTGGATGCGGATAGGGAACAAGGGACAAGGGAGTAGAAATACTCCTACGAAACCCTTTAGAACGGAAGACCTATTCCCAGCTGCCTGGCAATTGGTGAGCTGTAAAGGGAAAGGCAAGGCACCCAAAAAGGTGACTAATCGACCTGACAGACCATCAAGTAAGTCTATCCAGCCAGGGAGCGGAAGAAAGGTAAGGAAGCATAGAGAGAAAGCCCGTAAAGAAAGGGCAGAGCTGGCTGCTTCCAAAATAAATACTAAGGAGGCTGGGCAAGCTGCTGCTCCTGGGGTGCTTATACCTGGAGCCAGTAGTCGTACTGAAACTGGAAAGGATAATAATCCAGCTAAAGTGGAAGGTGCGGGTGCTGGGACCGGTTCCAAGAAATCCACCAGGAAGCAGACGGCAGCCAAGTATCCTGTATATAAAAAAGTATATAAAAAAAGAGCAGCCAAAAGGAGATTGGATGAGACCACCTCATAACCACCACCATAAAAAGGTGAGACTCGTAAAGCAATCCAAGGCTGGAAAGACCAGCTATGCTTCCACAGTCAAAGTTGAATTGTCTAACCTAACGTGTGCGCATACAGGTCACATCACAAAAGATGTAGTTGATGACATCCTCTTATCTATCCAGAGGTAGATGATAAAAGAGGCTTGGAGTAGCCAAGACCTTGAGGCGTCGGGCCCAGTCCTCAGAGGCAAACCCGTCTAAACGGAGGGTGGCCTAAAGTTGTGGTGCGACTACCAAAAGGCTTTGGATTGGTTGAAGGGGGATATCGTTACCCTTGACCTCAAATTCAACACCTCACTGGTCATCAAGAAGCAGTCGCAGATAAAGAGTCAAATGTAGTATCCTCATCCTAGATGCCCAGGAGCCCTGCAAAGACTCACGCGACATTGGTCGTGTGCTGGCGTACCAGAACCGTTGGGTAAATATAAAAGATTGGCTGCTACTGAAGGACGACAGACGGATGGGTAGTTCCTTGTTGTTTCGGTGCTGGAGGACCATACCCCGACCCTGTTGAAAGCCGGACGCCGCCCCGCATGTGTATATGGGGCGGTCTACGTAAAATGCCAGGTTCGTGGAGGAAAAATTTATGATACTCCACCGGGCAAAGAGGCGTAAAACAACCCAAAAGCCGCGGACACTGGTGCCATGGACACCGAGGCAGCAGGATCACTGGACCCCAAGACCAGTGATAAAACGGCCTGCACAACCGAGTCGAAGCCACCAGCGGAGGTCGGGCTCAGCGGCAGTTTACTGAGTGACGAGGAGGTATGAGTGGCTGCCGTCCAACTCCGACTCGGTGGCTTACGAATACCAAAACTATCCTCATGCAGGCCAACCTCCACCACAGCGAAACTGCGTCGGCTCAATTACGCAAGTAGTTGGAGGCTCAACGGACGGCCATAGCCCTAATTCAGGAGCCGTGGGTTGGGTCCGGTAAAATCAAAGGCCTAAACAACCTAAAAGGTAAGTTATTTCACAACTCTGGGCACGATAAGCCTAGAACGTGTATTTGTACTACTACTATCTGTTCCAGAGACATGTATGCCGTAGCATTACAAAACACTCAAGAGGAAAGAATAGTCATCGCCTCGGTCTACATGGCGGAGGAAGGCACTCCTCTCCTCATGACCTCGTGAGGCTGGTGCATTTCTTTGAGATGACCGGACTAGAGGTTGAGATCGGGACGGACTCCAACGCACATCATCCCCTCTGGGCAAACCTAATGAACGAGGTAAGGTGTTAGTTGAATATCTATGTAGCACTAACCTAACCATTTTCAAAACAGGTTCCCAACCAACTTTCCTAAAAGAACATTGTCGCACAATAATCGACCTCACACTAGCAACAAAAGGAGCAGCTAAACTAATTACGGGATGGCATGTGTCGAAAGAGGCTTCATGCTCAGACCATAGATGGATCTGCTTCGTGTTACAGGTCGATATTCCTGCTATACCACCGTGGATAAATACCCGCAAGACGAATAAAACAAAAGAACTAAATAGGCTGACGTCTTCAAAGCGAATTTTGAGGGGACACATGCATGGACGTATAAATAAGGCGGACAGAATTTTGTTAAGAAATGATTGATACACTGTACTGGCGGCGGTGCAAGTATGTTTGCATGTTATATAGGGTTGTCATGTGAAACAAAATTTCCCCATTTTATTTTTATAATTAATCGTTCAAATTATAACATAACTTTGACGAAATACTAATTTATTTTTACGTAAATACTATAAATAACACATTTGACGTTTAAAAAATCTAAGAATTTAAGATTTAGATTTTGATTGAAATCGAATTATTCTATTTCAATCAATTTCGATTTAAAGTAATTTTATTACAATAATATTATACAAAAATTGTATTATACTATTTGAACGAAATACATTATAAATATTTATTAACGAAATATATAACAAATATACATATTAAAGGTATAACCAAAAAATTAATATAAAGTTCATTTGCAATATACATTGCCCCATAAAGGAATTACTGACTCTTTTGAGTCGAGTAACTGGTAAAACTAACTTGTGTTTGTTCCTATTATTTATAGAATGTAAATTACTATTTTAAATAAATATTATAAGTACGTAACCAAAAACCTATGTGTGCAATCGAATCTTTGTTAGGGAACCGAAAAATAGTTTACATAATGTGACGAGCTTGGGGTTCGAGACAATTAAAAACTGCCGATTGAATTACCAAATTTGACACTTAAATTACAGAACACTAATTACAATCTAAAACCACACTAATAATAAAACACAATTGTACTACTGATCACTGCCTTTTGCACTTGCCCCAAAATGAAATACCATATCTTAGTATAGAATCTACGTAACCATTATATGCTGTAATCCGTGTAGACATATTGGTAGTTTTAGAAAGTTGTCGAAGTGCATAAGATATCTGATGTCACTTCCTGCGTTTCCCTCCAAGTTCCTCCTTGTGTTATTAAACCATTGTTAAATGCGTCAAATATGTGACATAAAAATATGTAATAATAAGCAAGTCATTGTTATGACACGAACATCTTCTACTAATACTCTAATCACCGATGAAAGTCATTTTCCACCACAACCCGAGCGCTTGAGCTTTTCGTTGAAATTACGTTCTACTGAATAAGGATCTTGATTTCCTGAGTATGGTTTCATTACATTATTGCATACTGCAAAGACTCCATCGCTGATAAAATACTGTTACGAGCTTGGGGTTCGAGACAATTAAAAACTGCCGATTGAATTACCAAAATTGACCCTTTAATTACAGAACACTAATTACAACTTAAAACCACACTAATAATAAAACACAATTGTACTAATGATCACTAGTTCGCAGTTGTATCGCTTTGAAGTATTCGCTTATTATATCACCAATTCAATACTGCCTCGGTCGCGGACTATATAGGGCCTCAGATAGTTTCCAGAACCTTCTACTGTAGCGACATCTAGAATGTTCGAGTACATATCGGTCCCAAAATTTCTAGAAGGATCTTGACTCTCCTAGTTCTGCTACTCGACACTAGAGGGCGCTAGTGGTAACTAGCGTTGCCATATACAAGACGCGCAACACTGCCCCCTCCTAAGACATGCTCGTCCCGAGCATCATTGGCCCCATAATAACGCACCAGTCGATCCACATGGACGATCTTAGGAGCACCTCTGGCACAATTCTGTATCCGGTAGGTTACCTCATTGATCCTTGTCACAATCCGGTAATGTCCGTCCCATTTAGCCTGAAGCTTTGGAGATTTCCCTTTGCTGCGAACTGGATTGTGTAACCACACTAGTGAACCTAGGTCAAACCCTTTGTTGTTCATTTTGCGGTCATACCGTGTTTTCATCCTCTCAGACGTTTGCTCGCCCGTCTGTCTGACGTGCTTATAAATGTCATTCATTTTGTTCCGCAAGTCATTTGCATAATCGGTTATTTATACTGCGTGGGGCATCAGGTCGTATTCCGATCATAAGGTCTGCAGGCAGCCGTAATTCTTTCCCAAAGTTTGCGAAAGCTGGTGTCACTGATGTACTTTCGTGAACAGCGCTTCGATATGACAACAAAAACGGTTGTATGTGCCTGTCCCAGTCTCGTTGCCGTTTTTCCACAAATTTTGCTAGGTACCTCTCCAATGTCTGATTAAGTCGTTCTACCATTCCGTCAGATTGTGGGTGGTAAGAAGTTGTTCGTGTTTTATGAGTACCCATAACTCTACAAGTTTCCTGGAATATTTGAGACTCAAAATCCTTGATCGCTGTGAATCTCTAAGGGTACTCCAAAACGACAGAAGACTTCATGAACTAGTTTATCTGCAACTGTTGAAGCTGCTTGATTTGGAATGGCGAAGACTTCTGGCCACTTAGTGAAGTAATCCATCACAACCATGAAATACTTGTTACCACTTTCACTTTCCGCAAACGGCCCCGCAACGTCAATGGCTATCCTCTCCCATGGTGCACCAACATTGTACAATTTCAATGCGCCTCTACTACGAATTTGAGGTCCCTTTACAGCCGCACAACTTGTACATTTGCGGCACCAGTCCTCGACATCGTCACGACAGTGGATTAACTCGCAGGTGGCCTCCTGAACAACCACTACGGTACAGCTGTAGAACATATACTACGGTACTTTAGCCTTAGGGACAACCATTTGCAAATGACATCTGTCACCCCGAACATTTTCCCATTTACGGCACAGGACTCCATCCTGAATCAGCAAGCTGTCTCATTGGGCCCAATAGCTTTTCGTGGCCAAAGTCATCGCTGAAAAGTCGTTCCACTTGGGCTTAGGAGCACTGGCTTTCATCCATTCCAGAATCGGCTTAATATCCGAATCTTCCTGCTGTGCATGTTGTAGGCTGTCCTTTCACTCATTGCTGAGCTGTTCTGTCCTGAGTATCCTCACAGATACCACATCCTTACCCTCTTGCCTAGTACAATGCTTGCAATCTTCAGGGCAAGGTCTTCTTGACAATGCATCTGTATTGTCATGAGATTTCCCGCTGCGATGTTCGATCACAAAGTCGTATTCCTGCAGCAGTTCAATCCATCTCGCAACTTGTCCTTCCGGATTTTTGAACTGCAATAGCCATTTCAGTGCAGCATGGTCAGTTCGTAAATGGAGTTTCCACCCCTGAAGATTTTTGCTAAAATGCTGTAAGGACTTTACCACAGCAAGCAATTAGCGTCTTGTGACACAATAGTTCCTTTCCGGCTTTGACAACGACTTGCTGAAGTACGCTATCACAATCTCTTGATCACCATTCCGTTGAGACAACATACCGCCAAGTCCTATATCACTTGCGTCTGTGTCAACTATGAATTCCTTGCCCGCATTAGGGTACCCCAAAATAGGTGTTTTGCACAGACGGTTCTTGAGTTCCTGGAATGCAATATCGCAACTTTCATCCCAGCAGAATTGTCGCTTCTCCTCGGTTAGCTTGTGCAGAGGTTTGGCTATATCTGCAAAGTTCTTCATATCTCGCCGATAATAAGAGCACAAACCCAAAAATGCTCTAACCTGTGTCTTGTCTTTTTGAACCGGCCAATTCTTGACAGCGGCAATTTTCTCTGGATCCGTGCGGATACCTTCTTCCGACACTACATACCCCAAAAAGCTAACTTGCCGTTTGAATAGTGAGCACTTCTTCGGACTAAACTTGAGGTTGGCACTCTGGATCTTCATGAGCATGCGTTCCAGGTTTTGAAGGTGTCCCTCCAACGTACGGCCTACGATGATGATGTCATCCAAGTAGACCAGACAGGCATCTCCAATTAGCCCAGTAAGTACAAGATCCATCAACCTTTCAAACGTTGCTGGAGCATTGCACAATCCAAACGGCTTAACTTTAAATTGCCACAGACTCTTTCCTGTGGAGAATGCAGTTTTCTCCTTGTCCTTAGGGTCAATTTCAACGTGCCAGTAGCCACTTTTCAGGTCCAGCGTACTAAACCATTTTACGCCTGTAAGCATGTCCAGCGTGTCATCAATTCTTGGCAAGGGATAGCTGTCCTTCTTCGTAACGTTGTTCAGACGGTGGTAGTGAACATAAAACCGCATGCTGCCGTCCTTCTTCTTTACCAGCATCACAGATGAACACCATGGACTAGATGAAGGTTCAATAACACCATCCTTCACCATTCCCTCAATCATGGTTTTCACTTCCTTTTCACGTGCTACAGGCAATCTTCATGGCCACTGACGAATAAGTAATTCTTCTCCTGTGTTTATTTTGTGTTGAACTAAGCCAGTCTTTCCTATGTTAGCTTCGTTTGACGAGAAAACATTGGCGTACTTGAGTAACAACTTCTTCGCCTTGACCATTTCATTCGGGGAGAGAACGCTGCGCCAGTCTTCTAAAAGTGTGGTCACTCTCGTTTGTCCATCCTTGCTGAGGGTCCCAGTCGATAGATATTGGCACCGATGCAACCAATCCACTTCCTCACAAGTATCAATAAATGTACCTTTTTATATAATCTGTTCCTGTTCAAAAAGGTTCAGCACACGTACTCCTGAGATGCCGGCGGTTCTGACCAAGGTTCGAGCCACTTTCCATGGTAGGTCATTGTCTAACCTTTCCACGAGTACACAACGAAGAGTTTGCCCAGGATTCCGAGGAAGTCTAACCGGCACAATCGTTTCCGATCTCGGCGAAAGAACAATCTTCTTAAGGCTGTACACATTCCCTGGTAACGCCCCTTCCACGAAAAGTTCCTCTTGTCCACATTTCAAAACACCTTGCTTAACGTCGATCTCACAACAGTTCTTCCTCATAAAGTCTAGGCCCAGGATGCAGTCGTTCATTATGTCAGCCACGATGACATTATGCAGGTAGATCATGTTGCATAGCTTTAACACCATCTCCTTCTCTCCACGGGCGAGTATGCGCTGACCGGTGGCTGTCACAAAATTAATGCGTTCTCGGTTGTATGCGGAGTCCCCAAAGAACTGACTTATAAGTTGGGAATTGACAACCGTGCGAGAGGCTCCAGTGTCTATGGTCAGTTTACACGGCGTTCCGTTAACCACGCCCTTGATGATTAGGCTGTTCCCATCACGGGTTTGTGAGATCGAAATCCTTGGGGCTCTTTTTATATCAGCCAGCACCCGCCCCGCAGTCCTGGCTTTTACTCGTTTCCCTGCTGCTGCTGGGCGGTGCTATTAGCCGCACTACCCTCTCGAGATTGATCACTTCCCCTTTCTATAGTTCGCTTAGGGCAGCTGGATCGAAGATGGCCCCTTTCCCCACAGCCGTAGCACCTAAGAATGTATCCTATATTGCGGTCGCGGACTGTAGCTGCTGCAACCTCCCTGACGCGATGGGATATTGACTCTACTAGTTCTGCTACTCAACACTAGAGGGCGCTAGTGGTAACTAGTGTTGCCATATACAAGACATTAGTGGCGCGCAACAATAATATGAATGTTAATAATATATAAGACGTGATGAAGATAATTAATTATGGTATCTTAAAACTAAAGGTCAACATTAATATGAAATTACCGAAGAAGATGATGAGCTAGATTTTTTTTACCATTAGTAGGAAAACTAAAAATGATTCGAATAGAATAGAATCATTTTAAATCAATACAGATTACAAGAATACTTATTGAAAGTCATTTAAGCTTTACCACTAGCACCACTATCACCTCATTTTCAGGGGTTATTATCAATCATGTACTCTTTAGTAGTATACCCTAATAATTCTTACTAAACAATTTTTGCTTAAGTTCTGCATATTTTCTGGGACTTAGAAATAGAAATATAAAATGTATTTATTTAACCAAAAAACATTACATAATTAAACAATACTCTCTCTTTTCTGCACTAAGCTCTAGGCTTGTATCGCAGGAACCAAGACCATTGACTGACACCGTATACACCGATAAATACATAGGACTCCGATTAAATTAAAATAAAGCAAAAAAATTTTTTTTATAAATTAATACATAAAAAAAATAGCTAATTTACTCTAGGAGTGCTTGCGTGCGTGCGTGCGCGCGCGCGCGTGTTTGTGTGTGTGTGTCTGTGTGGGGGTAGGGTGCGTGCTTGCGCGTGTCTGTGAGTGAGTGTAAGTCTACGCGTGTGCATGTATGGGGTCAACTATGAAAAGAAAGTAAGTTTTCCGTTTCCTGATAAGAAGCATGTAGCAACCAGGTTGTTATTTTGTGTTTGACTTTGCTTGTGGATAAAGACCTCAAATCTGGGAAGAGACAGCAGAATTTGTTGTAAATGCTAGGCAGAAGAAATGGTGAGTGGCGTTTGATAAAGCTACTGTGTGAATTGGGAATCGGTACTCGAAAGATCCGAGGTTGGCACAGGCTAAGTATATCCGAGGAATTTATTATTTTTCTATGGGTTAGAATTACTGCTTTTAAAATGTAGATTTGGCGAACCCGTAGCACCTTACATTCCTTGTACAGTTCGTCATTAGGAAATCTAAAGTTTTTAGACAGCATTACTTTTAGTACTGCTCGCTGGGCCCTCGCGACTTCAAGCATTTTTGTTTTGATAGCTCCACCCCAAGCCAGCGTGTAGTAGTATAGTAGGGATTAGGCTAGTGCTTTGTAAACCATTTTCATTGTTTCTTTAGTAGCACAGCGTCGCAAAGCTTTCATTATGTAAATGGTTTTCCTAACACTACCCGACAAGCGGCTTTGGTGGTTTTTAAATAATAGCTTATCATCAATGATCACTCCTAGATACCTGATGTTATCTGTGTTGCTGATTATATTACATCCGCAAGAGGGTACTTCAGATTCGCAAGTGTGAATTACTAAATTTATCAGTGAAAATGGTTTTGATGCGAAAGTTTTGTGAAAGGCCATGAACTTAGTTTTTTTATAGTTAGAGTTAGTAAATTGGAACTTAACCATTTATTCAACACTACCATGCCTTTTTGAGCCGTCTCGAGTACGCTATCACAAGTTAAATCATTAAATATAATGGCTGTATCATCCGCATAGCATATGACGTCTTCTCTTTGTATGGGTAATTCTAGGACGTCATTAATGTAAATGCAGAATAGGATTGGACCAAGAATACTTCCTTGAGGAACTCCAATAATGATTTTTAATTGCTTACTAGTATGTGAGCCTACTCTTATGCGTTGACGCCGATTTAAAAGATAGCTACGGAACCAAGCCAACGCCACTCCTCTAATTCCTTTTATTTCAAGCTTCCGCAGCGGTATAGGGACCGACACGGTGTCGAAGACTCTAGCAAGATCTAGGAAGATACCTACACAGTTACGTTTACTGTCCAAATATCTAGACACAGCATCTGTCAGTAGAACTACCGCATTCTCCGTGGACTTACCCCTCCTGAAGCCAAATTGATTCAGAGAGAGCAGATTATTACTTTCTATAAAGTTGGTGAGGCGCTTACTTACAATTTTTCCCAGTAACTTGGAAATTATACTTAGCAAAGATATAGGCCTGTAATTGCTAGGACAGTTTTTATCCCCATTTCTGTGTATTGGAGTAACAACTGCTAATTTCCAACAATTAGGAAAAATGCCACATAACAAACTAAGATTAAATATGTGGGTAAGTGTTTGCAGAACTGTGTGTTTTATGTGTTTTGTTTTTTTGCTTTCGACAATATTAACTGCTCAAGGAAACCAATTTAAGAAAATTACCCCAGTCCTAGCTGACATCAAGGAAACTAACAATAATATTGAAAAATCGATTGCTTTCCTCGCTGCCCAAAACGAAGAGCTGAAAAAGAAGTTACACGGATTCAAGCTTTAAGCCAAGAAAGATAGGGAATACATAACTTTTTAGAAGAAAAAGTTGAGGACCTGCAGAGAGAAAATAGAAAATCAAATATACAAATTAAAAATGCTCCGAAACTTGACAATGAAAGTGAGAAAGAATTGTTAAATATGGTAATGAAGCTATCGGAGAATGTAGGCCATTCCATTACGAAGGCTATCTATGTATGTATCTATGTATCTATATATATATATATATATATATATATATATATATATATATATATATATATATATATATATATATATATATATAAGAGATATCTACAGAGTTAAAAACATGAAAGGTGAAAACAATAGCCCAATTGTTGTGGAATTATCGTCCACTATGTTAAAGAAAGACTTCTTCAGATCCACCAAGACATTCAATATAAGGCACAAAGAGAAACTCTGTGCGAAGCACTTGGGACACACCAAAAACGAGTACACACCTATATACATCTCCGAACAGTTGACCGCCAAAGGTGCCCGACTCCACTTCCTCGCACGAGACCTAGGAAAATCGGTTGAGTACAAATTCTGCTGGACCGCTCATGGCCGGGTCTATGTTAGAAAAAATGAAAACACACCAGTATTCTTAGTAAGAAGTGAACAACAGGTGCAAAACTTATTACAGTTGAAATGACATGAGTCAAAAATCGTCTAGCTGTTATCGTTTTCATCTCTTGTAAGTTATTTTATTTTAGTAACTGTTCGTACACAAACACCATTCACGCAAAATAATTATACTTATTTACTACACAGCAACTTTAAATATCTCAATCATTACACATTCACAAAGAAATACTTTTTTAAACCAGAAAATACACACAGTGTCAAAAAACTTACTACACACTTTTACACTCATTGTCTCAGACCATATACAATTCTGAAATCTGTACCACATAATACTGATAATATCTATTTTTTACCACTTACTGCTAACGAATTAAGAATTCTTAAAACAAAACATGAATCACGTTCTCAATAATATTAATGCAATAGATAATTCTGGCACGTTTTCTAACTTTGAATGTAAAATTGGAAATCTGAAGAATATTATCACAGTACAAAATACAGACTTTACGATAATATCCCAAAATATTAGAGGAATATATGCCAATTTTGATGACTTTTAAGTAAACGTATCCGCCCTTGACTTCAACTCTGATCTTATCATCGTTTTTGAATGCAAATTGAACCCTGATAAACAGATCCCTCAGATAATACGAGTAGGTTATAATTCTTTTCAAACATTTAAACATCTAAATCAATCTGATGGAGTTTTCGCCTATGTCAAAAAAAAAACTCAGGAAGCTAACGTATCTGAAGTCTATCTAAAACATGCGTCGTGCCTGCAGATATCTTTACCTCAACTTACAGTTCTTGGTATTTATC